GGGGCTAGAGTTGCGCGACCTCTCACCACAATGCGCTTATTCACAAACGCACGCACACATAGGGGTACAGAGAATAGTTTGTTCAAAGGAGTCATTGATTTATGTGGTGTAACGGAGCATGCACCCAGTCATGCTTTCATGCACATTGCCTGGCCAATGAAAATACAGGCGTTAATTTCGTTTCGGACACACAATGCTCAGAGCACTAAATCAATAATAAACCGTCTGCTAAAATTACAGTCTGCAAGTTGCACATTTGTCGAAGAAAAATAAAAAACCGCTTTTCACTGTAACTTCGGTTATGGTATGCAGAAATTGGATTTGTTATCCCACAAATGACCTAAGGTCCACATTTTTAATTTCATGACTTTTGCACTTAAGTTTACATCTAAACTCAAGTTGCGTGTTAAAGCGAAACATTAGTATGCAAATGAGCATTGGTTACGGTCTGTACTGGCAAAAAATGTATTTTTCGGTGTTTGTAAAATTGGTGTAACTGCGGGAATTGGCACTAAGCCTCTGTTTCTGTAATTGTGCAATTCATGTGAAAGTTCCATGGGAGATATGAATAAAAAATATATTTGTGGATGCATTTTATCAAGCCGACTTCATATAAACATTTTCTTGTTATAATTCTGTTATTAGATTTTAAATAGCACATCAGGTTTAGATGAGATAAATCCCTCCAGCTGTAATATGTTTCATCTTGCTGTCTTTCCAAATATTTTAGGTCACGATTAATACAATATGGCTGCCATGGAAGTATGTTCAAACCATAATAACTTAAAGATTTGTGCTTGAGTAAGATTGGTGAACAATGTAGAAATACTAATTTTATTGCTAGAATATGGTCTTAGTCAAAAACAGTATGTTTTATTCACCTCTGAGCAAAGTTCCGTTTAATTCTGTGCAAATAATTTTTGAACTTAATTGAATGTTTACATCAGGTCTTGGAGCATTTCACTTTTTACAAAGCATGAAAGGTGGTGGATGAAGTGAAAAACACATGACTAGTCAAAGGATTTAAGCAAAACACTTAAGATTAAAATGATAACCATTTGTGGTTATCATAGAAATCTAAATACACATCTTATTGTGTTCCAATCAGTAGAAAGTTCTTCTCATTTACTAGTCCGGTGTGGAACTTGAACATCTCATGTTAACTTATTCTCTTTACTATTCACTTATTATTTCAATAAGGGCCATCGGTTTCACTAAGCCGCCTATAAATTTTTATAAGTTGTTGAAGTGGAATTGCTCAAATAACCTAGGGTTTTAAAGAATTGTTTGGATTTACCAACAATTTACTCCATTCTAATAGACTTTATTTTCGATTAATCACTCGTGATAGTTAACAAATGAATTAAGCTAATAGCAGCTAGTTCTTTTAGCGCAGATTAGACACGCCTTGCCATCGTATTTATTGCACATGTTTTGCACAACGTCACAAATATTTGTATTTTTCGCATTTGCAGCATCACTGAGCAAACATTCACAAATACCTTTAGTCTAGAACGTATGTCCGAAAATGATCATGTGTCTACACATATCTGGGATGAGCATAAATACATAAACTTCTGGTACTACTAGTAGATGAACGCTAAAATTGGTCCCTAACCCACATTCATTCTCTTTAGGATGGCAAACATAAAAACAAGGTATTTTGCTTTAGCTAAAGAATTTTAACTCCAAAAATACATCACTTAATTTTTTTTAAAATTAGCATTTTAGATCTATATAGGCTATTTACTATCATTTATTCTGCTGGACAATATTTTTCAATTAAAATAATTTGTTTCAAAGAAACAACTATTAAAAACGCAGGAGTATACATATTAATCAGCAGTAATCCTGATATTCTTTCTTACTACGCTCATATATGCATAAATGACTAGCGACAACATGGTTATGAAAGATTTACTTAATCCTGCTATTTTCTGTTTTATGGAAGATTACAGACATTGTTAGTAAGAGGGGAACGATCTCCAATAGGCATTACAGTCCAGGGGGTTATAAAGCATTTTTAATATCATATCTTAAGCACCTTAAATGTGGGTCAACTAATCTGTTAATTATAATAACAACTATCCACGGCACGTAAAAGCTCACGTGATTACTGAATTCTTTTCATAATAAAACGGTAATGAAGCCAATTTCCTGTTGGACCGAATAACCTTACCTGTTGCCATGGCAGACTAGGGACACTATCAAATTGTTCATCTCTTTCCCACCTCCATCCCCAAAGATTATCACGAGGCTGATGTGTGCGGGGATGGCGGCTAGTGTGTTGGTGGTGGGAAAAATCGGAGCACAGCATAAATCAAATCGGACAAATTAATTTCCGCGTTGCAAAACTCTGCAATGACCTCAGGCTGGCTCATGTAGACTAATGCCCTGCATTTCTTGACGTTGGCAAATCTAGGGATAAGCTTAATCCCTAATTCAAACGAATGAAAAATATTTAAACAGAATCAACAGGTTAAAATAAAAGCTATTCTTTTTTGTCTCAAACAAATAAAACAAGAGCTGTTGACTTTTTAATTTGAAAATAGGCATACACAAAGTAGTTATAAAGGCAATTTGGCGCCATTTCATGAAAAACTGCGTCTACACGTTTGTTTAAATAACAGACTACTTACTATTCCTTGATGAAATGTGACTGACTGGTACACGGATTTTAGCATCTTCCGTTATCATGATACTCTTTTCCCATTATACAACCTTTAGGTTAAAAGTTTTATGCCCATGAAGCATGGTTCTGGTATAGTATCTTCGTGAGCAAAAACGACACTCTAAGATGAGCAAATTTAATAAACAAGGTTTTAATTTTACTACAACGTGTGTATCGATATTCATCTTTCAATAATTAAAAGGTACCGCCTAGGTCATTATGTAGGAGAAAAGTTGTTTTAATACCAATAGGTCTAAATAGAGGGAGTGCTCTTCTACTAATAGAATTTTTACAAATATGAACTGATTAACTTGTCGTCGGGGGATTTTTGAGGGTTAAATATCATTAAGTGACGTTTCTGTCATCTGCCACAGAATATGTTTCTTTTGTGGCAATATCCACAATCCTGCGCTTGTAACGCGTGCATCGCAAATGATAGGCTGGGCATTCGGATTATCTTTTAGAAGAGGTCATCACATGTGGGCAAGCCCTAGGGGCAGGAGAATTAGGCCTCACCAGACATCCTAGATTCCGTTATTCACTAAAAGGCTGATCTCCAAAGTGAACTTGCACGCCCTGTCAGGGTTGCTTCGAACCAGTGGAGTCGTTGACTGTAAAATATTTTAGACCTGTAATGTATAAAGCATTATCCATTTTATCTTAGGCTGCTTGAGTAACGGTCCTAGGTAGTATGTGACTGCTTGTGGGGTACAATGTCATATGTATTTTTATCTCTCAGTTTTGTTGGGAGGACTACTTGGGTGCTTGTCATCGTACCTTCGCTTGGTAAGCTGGCCTTCAGACCATGCCAGTACCCCCAAGCCCACCTGTATGTCAAATACATATATTTAACCCGAGAATTACGTCTTCTCTCATCTTCAGCGAAGTCTCAGTTCGCCTCATTAATTCCACCTCTGCTGTCAATGTGGCCTCCTGAGACTTTCTTGAAGACAAGAGGACATATTACTCGGGCAGAATATACGTATTCTATATACAGTTGGACTTAAGGGTGAAGGTACAATGGTGTTGTACTTAAGTGATCCCTTTATCAAAACCAAAAGTTAACAATACAGCTAATGGATTGTAATAATAGGAACATATTTAAAATACCTAACAATTTATGTCAAAAGAAGAGAAGCTGATGAGGGTCTGAGGTCGTCAAACCCCATTCTCTGGGATAGAAACAATATTAGTTGAAAATTAATTGTACATTCTATGTATGAAGTAAACGTAAAAGTCGGATCATTATTTATCATAATAAACCAACACTTTATTTTACGTTTTGCAACTCTAATTAATTTGTTTGACAAATTATCAGCCTTATTTGACAACTAAACACGAATATTGCTTTAGACAAGCAAAGAATATTGCAATGCTGTATTCGCATTGCTATACTTAAATTTAGTTAGTAATAACATTCTTCACCTCATAAACGCGATTTTATGGGAATCATAAGTAAGGAAAATTATAAATTACATATTTTAAAAAATGTTATAACACAATTTTTAGATAACACTGCTGTAATGGTTTGGTTTTTATTTAACAGTGTGAGAAATACAGTCCCAGCAGCTTGTATTTTGCCGTGCAGGGTGGCCTTCAGGTCATTCTGCTAGTTCTTAATGCTTTCTGTAGTGCTTTTGCTTGTTAGGAATTCAGCAAATACCCAAGACGCTACAGCTGCGCCTTTGGCATTTCGATGCAAATAAACCGCCAAAGTGCATGCTGTAAGGTTACATTTTGAAAGTTGTAAATCACTTCCGTCCGTTTCCACTGTACCATTGAATAAATTTTAATGTAAACATTTATTGTACTCTAACAAGTTATCAGTAAATAAATCCAAGGTGATGGAAGTTTGTCAACTATATTGCAGAATACAATGAGGTTGTTAAAGTTTGAAATATTTCTTGTCGTTTAAAATATAAATGTGATCATAATAAGCCACCTAAAGCTGCACTGCTCGATAAAAACTTGAAAATAAGAGGCACTAACCATCGTAATTTTAGCAACCAAATTTAACAAATCAATACTTTTTACATCCTTGTATAAGTTGATTTTTAATTCTTACGGCCAGTATCTCATTTTCGGATTCATTTTTAGGCCAATTGACATAACGAGAGTAGACGTGAAGACTCAAGTGATAGTACATTAGATTTGCAAATTTTGTGTTACGTTAGAATGCTAATAATTGTTTAGGATTCCATTTCTATATAATTAAACTGCACAATGTAACATGATTCGATAGGTTGAAATAAGATTAGCACCCATAAAATTTTCATTTCGCACAAACCGCCTACTTAAATCCTATTAATAGGCATGCAATAAGTCATGACTATGAGATATTGGATTTAACTGATTGAGATTCGTGTTCAAAGCATACAAGGAAGTGTTGAAATAAAGCCCCCATTGCACACCATGCTAATGTCGTTTTACTGTTCAAAAGCTAAATTGTATAAGATGGCAAAAAAATACTTCAAAATTTATCCAGTATTTTCAATTAATCGGAAGCCTTATGACTGCTGTTTTCTTAGGATTATTTTATGCCCCTAAATGTGGATATCAGCAAAAAATTACCTCTATCTAAAAGACTATAGGCATTTTTGAAAAAGATTGCGCCTTTAGAATAGTTCATGCTCAAAATGATCAAAGGAAAAGTGCTAATCAGCATTTGGGATACAAAGGCTGCTTTTAAATTTGACATGTACAGTTGGAAAATATGGTTGCTACCAATTACATATATACCACACGTCACTTACCATAGATTGCATGTCTAACTTAGTTTTCATTTTACTGGCATACCTCGAAAAAAATATGCATTGTAAGCAATGAACTTGGTGGCTACAAAACTTCTTGACTAAGAAATGCACTTAAAAGCAGCAGTTTATTTGAAAGTTATTAATAGTCAGTCTTTGTATTGCACAAAATTAGGGCAATTTGTGACTTGTCCAATTTTTCATTATATAACCCTGAAACAGTGGTAAACGAGGCACAATGCCGTACCATCCATTATCTCACCTTAGGTCTTCCACACGAGCTTCTTTACTTATAAAAATTAAGCAGCAATGCTAAAACATCCCTTCTTCTTTTTGATTCCTAATGCTGAAGCATGTAATGCTGGAAGCAGTTTACCATTTAACCATTGAAGTTGCTGTCAAATAAAGGAATTAATGCACTTAAGCACTGTCATATAGTATGTTGATTAATGAGTATTGAGTAAAAATTTGCAGCACTAATCAAAGTGAGAAAAAGTTATACGGTGCCATTTCTTCATAGCTGTCGATCTAAACAGCCTGAAGTGATGTTTTTGAATATCTTCTTTTATTATACTTAAACTTAATGTAAAGGAATTCGCAAAACGCTCGGATTAGTCACTCTGTGCAAGTGCTTTAATGAGGATGAAAGTGCAAATTCTAGTAAGTTCTTTCAACTTTTCTTCAAAAAAATGAGTTTGTTTTCGCTACTGGATTTTATCTTCTTCCCTGAAATCTTTTCTCTAACGTAATTAAGAGTTGTATCATAAAGGTAATGCAAAAAGCTGGGTACAAAAAAATTTCACATTGTTTTAAAAACACGCAAGCGTCACTGCTGCGTCGGTTTGTTTCAACTACTGCTGGGCATGTGGGTGCATCCTTTAGCCTACACAAACATGATGGTCGTCCCCCACTCCCTGCGTCTCCCTCCTAACCTTATACCCAGTCCCGTCCTCAGAGCCTTTGAGGTGTACCGCTACTTCTTTCTTTTCTCTCTTGGGGCGTGTGTGAGAGCGCGCATGAACTCGCGGACTCACCCGCCAACTTCAAAGTGATGGGCTGCTGATCGATGCACACATTTTGTATGTCCGCACACATACGCACACCCATGCACGCGCACTAATGGCTTCCGCGCACAAACGCTGGCGGCAATTACACGCCTAGATCAAAGGAAGACCAGACGCCTCTGTTCCTACCACCATCATCACCACTACCACCACCACCGACACCACACCATTCCTACCACCCAGGCATCATCAGCATGCTCAATGGCTTGAGCTCAAGCTCGCGTCACAAGTCGGAAAGGGAACGAGGTAACGAGATTAAGGCGTCCTCTAACCATTGCCAATGATTAAATCCGGTATAGCATTTGTAACAGTGTTGGCCTTACAGATATTCTGTCAGCTAGCCTAAGGCAAAGTAGTAAGGTTAAAGTTAAGGACAATTTTACAAAGATCGATTGTTCTGTGATACGACAGGCATACGCAGGCACAGTTAAGGAGATAAAGCAACGCTCAATTAAAGTGAACTTACATGATAAATGCATGTAGTTAGATGGAATCAACAAAACTTTTTAGGAGCTTTAGTAATTCTCAGAGTAAGTTTAGATTTGAGGCAAAATAACTTAATTGCATCTATAACAACATTCGTGCAAATTATTACTCAGGAAGGTCTTCATAAAGTGGTGGGATTTGAAAGAATTATGTTTTACTTTAGAGGGTAAATTCGTAAAATTTAGTGATCATAGCTTTTCTTAACTTAAGCCTAATATCATGCTAAGTATTAAATATTCGCTGTAATAATTATGGGAACTTCCTTGAGAGCATCAAATTATTTTATGCAGATCTTTTGTAAGTTAGATTTCTATTCCTTAAGCTAAGCATGATAGTTCCTCACACCATCTGTAGGCCAGGCTAACTCTCATTTGATTACTTTTAATAATGTGGTCTAATATATTTCAAAAATACCAAATACCTTTACGGTCGATATAAAATTGTGTGAAATATAATTTTTTACACTCAGTTCGCGACTTTGTTCTAATACACCTAGACAAAGGTCTCATTTATTTTTAACCATGTGAATTACTTTTTATTATTTTTATATTTAGTAAGTACCTAATTTTAAGTGTTATTAG